GTGCCCGAAGACCTCAGCGGAGTGCCTTGTTTTTGAGTCTCTAAACCTTGCTTGTTTTGTGCATGTTTTTGGACCAAGAGCCTGTTGTCTTTAGCCTGGAAGAGAGGGTGACCTGTCGGCTGGCCCTGGGATCTGTCGGCCATGGATTCTTCCTGTCGGCTACCAGTGGTGGTCGGTGGCCAACAGCCATTGGTCTCCTTTTTCCAGATATTTGTTTGCCAGTTGTGCTAGCTATTGCTCACTGAGCTACATCTTCATACACGTGTATGGTAGGGTGTATTCAAGCTCAAGACTTGATTTTTTATATATAGGGGCGTTCCTTCCCCATTTTGGAGGGTTAGACATTTTAGACAAAAAATCTCTCTCTCTTTCTAGAATTCTCTCTCCTTCTTGTTATTTTGTGCCTCAAAGTCTAGTTTCTCCACACTTTTGCACATCAACCCTGAATCAAACTTGGCCACCTTGGAGCTGAGGTTTCTTAGAGTCTTGTTTGTGCTCTAGAAGAAGGTTTAAGCTTGGATTGTTGCTTAATTTGTGCTTGAGCTTCAAGAAGTAGTTTACTTAATTAGTATACTTGCTTTGAATACTTGTTTTGCCATCCTTTTGTATTGTTTTTGGGCTGATTTTCAACTATAAAAAAACTCTGTTTTTGAGGCTTAAAATGATGGTTTGAGGCTATCTTGTGGTAAGGGGTAATCCATCATTCTTGTTGCTTAATGGTTTAGATTTTTGCACCATTTTTCATCACATTCAAATCAAACTTTTTGGGCCTTTTGACCACTGAAATTCAGAGGTTTTTCAGTGACAAAAATCTTCTTTTGAAGTCTAAAATTGGAGGGGTCAACCTCCTCTCCTTGTGTCTTGCTTGCATGCCTAGTTAGCTTCACATGTTAGCATGTTTTTCTAGCCTAACTTAGCTTTAGTCCAACATATTTTTGCCTCTGTTTTGACCTACTTTAGCTCTATTTTGGGCTGTTTGGGTCATTTGAGCTTTGTTTTGTATAGTTGTGGTGTAATTTCCTTTACTAGCTTAGTGTTTCTAGGCTTTGAGCATCATTTGTATGTCTTGATTGCATGTTTTAATGCTTTTTTCATGCCTAATTCCAACACTTAACATCTCTGTAACTTCCCTCTTTGCTTCACTTTTTCATTTGTTTGAGGGTTGTTTCAACCTGAGGGTTGTTTCAACCTTAGGGTTGTTTAAGCTTGAGGTTGGGGCTCATGCTTAATGGTTTAATCCTTTTTTGAGGGTTCAGCACCAATGGCATAAAGCTTCCTTCATACCTTGAACTACCCATTGGTTGACACTTCTTTCCCTTTAGAAGACACTTACCAATAGACTTAATCGATTAAAGAACGAATCGGTAATGTAAAATCAGTAAACAAAATGAACATGTAAAAGATGCAAGATAAGCGTCTTTCATGTTGCATTGCATGTGTTCGAATCGGACGTTAATTCGAACACGAGGAAAATGGGACATTTCATACTCAAAGTAATGAAATGTGCCACTTTCCTTGGTCACCATCACCCTTGATCATGCATGATAGGGTGGTGGTCCTTTTGAGTCTTGTTTTGCACTCATTAAGCTTGTACAAGCTTGGTTCCTTAGCCATTATGCATGCAAAATACTTAGTTGATGGTTTGAGAGCTGAGAGTTACACTCCTTTGAACTTGTGTGATGATAAGGAGCGTAACAGCACAAACACTCCTTGAGAATATACTGTTTTGCCTCTGTTTGCTCCCTGTTACAGCCAAAGGAAGTTCAGGGCAGGGGTGGCTGATCGGCCATCAGTAGTGGCCGACGGCCACCAACAGTAGCCGACCGGCCATCATTGGTAGCCGATCGACCATCAATGAAGAAAGTTGCTCAGTGTGATGAAAAAGGGGAGCAGTGGTGTTCTAGAAGTTGGTAGCTTCTTTGGTGTTCAAAAATGTGCAAAAAAAGGCGTTCAATGCAAGGCGGTGGCTTTTCGGGTGAAAAAACCGAGCATGCATCCCTCGACCCTCGAGGCCATTTAATTGCTTTGTTTAGTTAATTAGTGGTAACTAATTAATTAGTTTGATTGCTTTGTATTTAATTAGCTTAGAATAGTTAGTTAAATATCATGTTGTAATAATGAATTAACTAGAATAGTTAATTCGTTTCAATTGTTATAATAATTAGTTAGCTTAATTAGCTTAATTAGCGTAGGTAGTTAGCTTATTCATTCGGACCCCACTTTACGAGGGCGTAATGTTGTAATAAGTGTGCGTGCATGTGTGTATATCTTCCAACCTCACGTCTTTCTCCCTTTTATTTAATCACTTTTGAAGGTTAGATTATGAACATTTTCAATTAGCATGCCTTATGTTCGTATGTTTGCATCTATTCATTTGCTGTGCATGCACCGAGACTCGGCGCATCATTTAAACTACATTGCAAATTCAATACTTCTTTGAATACGTGTTTCAAAGTATGCTATCAAAGTGCTGCAAATACCATGATTAAGTAGCCGAGCCTATTTAGTTACATCATTGCATGTGTTGCATTAGTCATTTAAAATAGTTAGGAATCATACATTTTTCTAACTAATTTTTATTTTGGCTTGGAGTACTCGGTGAGTTTTATGCTTTAGCATACTTGTATGAGTGCGATTGCTATGTTGCCATGTTTCGCATGCTTGCCATGAGGCTATGTGCTTAAATGCTAAACTGCTTGAATGCCTGTGGATGAAGGAGGTTGTTTGAATTAGAACGATTTAACGAATGTGTGTTTTAATCTCACTATGTTTGGTAGCAAATCCGCATCGTCAAGCCCACTTGAGGGTGGCAAATTCAAACCATTTTCGAAAACAAACATGTGTTGAATTGTTCCAAGTCTTGCGACTAGTCTATACTTGCTCGTGCGCGTCACATAGTAAAGCTAGTTTAATAACCGGAATAGAATACATAATGTTTATAAAACATCATATCATGATTAGTAGAGGCCGATCTTTGATTGGGCGAGCGAGGGTGCTCATTTTAGGGGATCCCCTCTCGTACCCAAGTTCCTGAGCCGAGGCAATTTTAGTGATGACGGACACGTGGCCTTCTGCACGAGTCAGGGTTTCCTAAATTTTTTCAAAAAATAAATATTTAGGTGGCGACTCTGTATCTGGCAAAACAGTCCAATTTTGGCATTATTTGATTTAAAATTGATTTTTCAAAAAGGTTTGTCGGATTTGGACTCTTTGGTAATTATCAGTTTACATTGCACTTTGTGAGGCTAGATTCAGAACCGCGGGAGTCCGAATTGTGAGGCCTTCTTTTCAAACCCTTTCCGAAAGGCGAGAGACGGAAAAAGGCGAGTCCACAATATTTGAATAAAATTTCAATCATAAATCACATATGATTACTTTAATTTGTTGAAATTAGAAATGAAATTAAGCTCTAAGTTCAACCTAAACATATCAAGCATTTTCTTCACTTATACATAACTGACGCATGTCAAGGTATCTTCATTGCAATCCTTTTTCTTTTTTTTTTTAAAATCCATCTCTACAGTTATTTGCTTACTAAGTTCAGTTTTGTAATTATGTGGTTTAGGGAAACTTGTCAAAGAGATCACTCCACAGTAATGCAGAGAAGTTTGAATTTTAGGTTGAGGTGTCTCAGCTTATGGGCATCATTATCAACTCACTTTACTGCAATAAAGATATCTTCTTTAGGGAATATATTTGGCATGGTAGTGAATATATTTGTGTACGGAGGACATGTTTTGGTATGATTCTCTGTTTTGTATGGAATAATGTTATTATTTTAGGTTAGATATACTTAATTTGTATGAAATTTGACATTAAAAGTTATTCCTTTTTGGATGTTTGGAAGTGAAATGGATGCAAATTGTAGAATGATTGATAATAGATGTATTGTTTTATTTGTACATATGATAAAAGTTGCATGGAATACATACATATTGTGGACAAATTATTAAAAAATATAATAAAATCATGTTTTTGGCAACTAAACAATTAGTAGCCAAAAATGAAGTAAATAAAACTTACAATTGTTTAATAGAAGTAGCTGCAGAGAATTGCTTTAACATACATAGAAAATAAATTACAAAGATAGCTAATTTTTTGCAAGAAAATGAAAGGAGAAAGCAAGAAATAGCACTTAGAATAGAAAATAACACAGTTTAAATAAATATTACAAAATAAGAACAGTTAATAATAAAAACTTACAATTGTTTAATAGAAGTAGCTGCAGAGAATTGTTTTGAAATATATAGAAAATAAATTACAGAGATAGCTAATTTTTTGAGGAAGGAATGGTCTCTCAAATTCTTTTTCTAACTCTGTCCATCAATTTACTAGGTTCACCAATTTATAAGCCAAATAAAGTAACTATGCAGCTTGTGACTAATGGCTGGAAGAGCATGATGGAGCACATGTGTCCTGTCTGCTACTTTCGGCCAAGTGACTAAAGTTTATTGAAGCTTTTGGTTGATTGGTGAATAGTTATGACTTTGGCTTTTACTATTTATAACTTTCGGTGGCATGTGATTGATGGAAATCAATATATAGACAAAATAGCAGCTTATCTCAAAAGATGAGTAGAGAGTAAAGCTATAATGCATATATATAGAATCCAATGTTGACTGGTTGAATAATTTGCCACTCGCCGAGCTCCATCACAACCGAGCTCAGCAGCACTCCGGTGCGATTGTGCTCCAGACAAGTTAGGTCGGTCTGCGGCAGATCACGGTCATCGAGCTAAAAAGAGCAAACAAGAGAAGACAAGCTGGCAGAGGATTATCTCAGCCAACTCTGGTCTGGACTTTGGCCGAGCAAGCTTCACCTCGGCTCGGCCCAACCTAGCTCGGCCCAAATACGCTTGGACCACATTTAGCCCGGCCAGAACCGCGGCCCAAGCCGAGATTATGAAAATCCCCTTCTCATATATATATCAGCAACTTTTCTCTAAAGAAGAATATTGATTGAAGCTGATAATTATAGCTATATAGAATCCAATGACTGTATTATGCATATGGGTCCTGAGCATCTTGAAATTCGGATCCATATGGGTTTTGAGTAGTTGATCCTTTAGAAGAGTTTGAACTGTTTGAATTATCTTCTGAACTGCTGTTATCCGAGTCTGACTTGGCTTGGGTCGTGAGGAGACGAGCCATTTGGAGGAGCTCATCTTTGGATGACTTGGACTTAGGCTTAACCTTGGATTTGGACTTGTCCTTTGACTTGGGCTGATCAGAACTGGGTTTTGCTGACTTGGATTTAATCTTTGATTTGGATGACTTGGGCTTGGAAGAACTGGATGCTGGGCTTTCAAGATTGACTGGAGGAAGTTGGCTTCCCTGAGTTAATGAAGCAGTTGGGATCTGCTGAGCTTTAACCATAGCAGAGGTTGGAGCATGTATGTTGATTGGGAATTCAATTTGAACAATCTCAACAATGCGTGAAAATTTTAAATTACCCCACCTTTTAACCATGTGTTGTTGGTAAATAACATCATCAGAAATACCATATTGCCATTTGAATATCCAAGGGATTTGTATTTGGATATAAAAATGAGTAATGGAGGAAATTTCCTTTGCTGTGGAGTGAATGAGAAAACAATGGAAAAATAGTTTACTTGCTCCATAATGACTAATGGAAAGATTTCTGAAATGGCTCCATACTGAGTCCACCATCGCAGAAACCAAGTAGGTAATTCAAATTTGAACTTTTGATCAAACTAGAGAAATCAGGAGTGACTATTTGACTCTTTTTGATACAAGAGAACTTTGAACCAAGCATCAATATAATCATAGTAACTGTACTGAATTGAATGACCAGGCAAATCTCTTAGTTGATAAGAAGAACCACAATCATCTAGAGAAACAAAGTTGTGAATATAGAGTGAATGATACACAATTTTACTTGTGTAAGTACGATCATAAATGAGTTTAATCACAATAGACTGGTGGTTGAATAAGATGTCTTTGTAAAAGGTAATTATTTTTTCTGGATGAAGAGGAACAAAATGCCATCCAGGAGGGAAACAAGATTTAACTAGATCGTGAACAGTATGACTCTTTGGGTGACTGGGTTCTTTGAAAAAGAGATTAGTAGTAGTAGATTTAACATAATCAGATCGGGTAGATTTAATAGGGTTAGGAGGGTAAGGAGTAACTGCTTGACTAGATCAAGCAAAGGGATCAGTAACCAAAGCAGATGTATAGTTGGGCTTAAGAATGTTGTCAGGAATTTGGTAACGATTAACCAATTTAGTAGGGTGATATTTGGTGACTAGCTCCAAAGGAAGAGGAACAAAAGGTTGACTAGATGGGGACCAAGGCTTTAGAAAGAAACCTGGGACGAGACATCTGTGAAATAGATAAATGAAATTAGCATCCACAGAAGATATCTAATTGATTAGTATGTGAATGTAAACAGTTAATATAATGAGAAAGTTGCTGGCGTTGAGCTTTAATCCGATGGAACTGAATATATTGAGCATGTTTAGTGGGTAAATGGGTTGATTTGAGAAAAGCAAGGTGAGAAGCAGTATGCTTAATTAGGGATTTGTGGTGTTTAATTTTCTGTTTATGGTATGAAATAGAGGGAATAGGCATTGGATTTGTAGTGTTTAATTTTCTGTTCATGGTATGAAATAGAGGGAATAGGCATTATCCACCCTGTGAAAATTCTCGGGTACGAAAATCAGGAATAAAATTTTGACAACCAGGAATATATTCAATATCAAAATAAAAAATACTTAATATAGATTGCCAACGGGCAAAAATTTGCTTACTAGCAAGATTTTGAACGTCTTTTTCTAAAACATATTTAGCAGATTTACAATCAACACGAAGTAAAAAATTTTGATTTAAAATATCATCTTGCAATTTACTAATACATAGAACAGTAGATAAAATTTCTTGTTTAATAGTACTATAATTCTTTTGTGCTTTATTCCAGACACCAGAATGAAATCGAACAATTTGTTCAGATGACTGAGGAGTGATTTTTTGGAGGAGGATGCCACCATAACCAATATCAGAGGCATCAGTTTGAATAATTTTAAAGGAATTTTCAGTGGGAATACCAAGACAAGGAAGAGACTTGACATATTGTTTGACTTGTTAAACAATAGCAGTATGAGTAGGAGACCATGGGAGAGGATTGTCTTTTAACCGATCAAATAAGGCTTGACAAGTTTTTCTAAGGACTTTGTAAAATTCAACAATATAATTAAGTGATCCTAAAAAACGTTGTAACTGGGTTTTTTCTAGAATTTCATCAGGAAATTTAGAAGCAAGTTCAATAGAGCAACTAATTGGTAGAATTGTATTCTGGTGAATATCATATCCTAAAAATCTGACTTTAGTTTGGAACAATTTAATCTTAGGAGCAGATATGACTAGACCATGACATTTAATAGTATAAAAAAAAGTGATAAGATGTTTCCAATGTTCACTAATTGATTTTGAAAAAATGAGAATATTATCTATATAAACTATGGAAAAATGACTAAATGGATTGAAAATGTCATTCATTATATTTTGAAATTCACTAGGTGCATTTTTTATTTTAAAAGGCATGATATTCCATTTATAGTGACCAAAAGGTGTAGTAAAAGCAGTTTTATATGTCTTTAGAATGAATTTGGATTTGTCAAAAACCACTTTTTAAATCAAATTTACTAAAAATGATAGCTTGACTAAGTCTTTTGATTAAGTCTTTTTTATTAGGAATTAGATATCTAATCCATTCTAAAATTTTATTTAATGGTTTATAATTAATGACTAGGCGAGGGACACTTTGTTCTAATTCAGCATTTTTATTAACATAAAAGGCGGGGCAAGACCAACGTGATTTACTATGACTAATAATCTTATTTTTTAATAATTTATTGATTTCTTTTTTACACATTTCAACTAATTCATGATTCATTTGAATGGGTCTAGATTTAGTAGGAATTTGTCGTTCATTAAAATTTTTAATATATGGAAATGTAACTACATGTTTTTTTCTATGCCAAAAGGCAGTGGGTAGAGTTGAACAAACAGTTGTTTCTAATTTTAGTTTAAATTCTTCAATTTGAGTTATAAGAATTGGGTCAGTCAATTATTGTTCAATTCTTTTGTAATTAACTTCTTCTCTAAGAAATCTTAACTGACGAGTTAATCTATTAATAGTTTGGGAAATAGAATAATCTTTTAATTGATGTAATTTAAGAGCTTCAGGAGGAAATAAAAATTTAAAAGTAATTGTTTGGCCAAGGGCTTGAGTAGTTATTCCTTGAGTGGAAGTAGTAAATGGATATAGCAAAAATATAAATGGTGCTACTAAAATAACTTTGTTAGTCATATTTCGGACTAAAACAAAAGATGTTTTAAAACAAACATTATTCTAGCAAATATGAACTTGTGGTAATTTATATTTAATATGCATTTGACTACCATTAGCATAAGTTAATTTTTCACTAGTTTTCTCATAATATTTAGTAGGAATTAATCCTTCTTGAACACAATTAAGATCAGCACCGGAATCAATCAGAGCAATAACTTCTAATGCAAAATCATTAATTATTAGTTTAATTTTGGAGTACCAGTTTTGAATATGTATTTTATTAAGAAGATTTAATCTTTTGTTTTCATGATTAGAGGAATGAGGGGATCGATTATTAAATAAAAGATTATTAGGATTAGTATGTTCAGATTCATTGTCAGATTCTTCTGGGGAAATGTTATCATTAGCTTGGAAATTATCTAAACTTTTATTAATTTTTAAAACAATAATTTCATCTTCTAATAATTTATCTTTATTTTGTAAATCTTTGATTAAATGTTTGATTTGATTAATTTCTTGTTGTAAATCTTGAAGAGTAATGTCTTTTGATTTATTTTTAAATCTTTCCAAAGTTTTAGATAAACGAATAATTGGTTTGTCAGGTTTCAATTTCTTATCAGTTAATAAGGATTTTAATTTAGCAGTATATTTATGTTTTAATTCTGGATCCTCTAATCGACTAATTAATTCAATAAGGACAGTTTCTTCTTGATGTTGTTTGGTAAGAACTGTGATTTGTTTGATTGGTTTACAACAAACATCATCACATCTAAATTCAATATTATTATCAGAATTATCATTAGGTGAATGTTAATCAGAAGATGTATCCTAAGGATTACTAGAATTATTATCAGAATTACTAGCAGATTGGTTTAGTTGGAAGATTTCAAATAATTGATTTTTTGATTCATCATTGATTTGGAGTTGATTAACTTTTTCTTTTTCTTTTTGTTTTTCTTTACATTTATTAGAATAATGACCTTTTTTTTACTACAATTGTAGCAAATAGTATCATTAGTAAATTTAGATTTTGGATCTGATTTCTTATGATATTTCTTTTTGGACTTAGTATAAAATTTATCAGTTGATTTGGAAGGTGCATAATTCGTTCTATATTTAGTAGAATATTTTGAAGAAGACTTATGTTTATTGTATTTATGTTTTGTACGGAGAGAAGGTGCTACCAGAGGTAAACTATATTGTTCGCAAAAGTTACCTAATTCATATTTAGCTTTATGTTTATCTTTAGCAGCTTATTGACTAAATTTAAGATCAATACACATTTTTAAACCTTCTTTTTGAATAGTACTAATAATATCACCATAAGTTAAATTATCATATTCAATAACACTTGTAGGTTGACTAAGTACATCCCTAATTTTGTGGGCAAAGAGATTGGGTAATCCATTAATAAATTTTTTTTTTCCAAAATGATTTAGTACAATTGTCTCTTAACATAACTCTAGAGGTAAAGACATCTTTATACCATCTAAAATCACTTAATGTAGGACAAGTAAGATTACTAAGTTGATCATGTATACGAGAGTAAATATTAGTAGGGGTACCTATGAAATGTCGGACTATGGTATAAATTAAAGTATTAATGCCATCAGGTTTATAGTAACCAATAGTTTCGTCAAATATAGGTAAATCATTTTCATCTTTTTGACTTGCATGTAAAATAGATTCTCTTTGATCTTCAGCAAAATATTTTTCCCACCAAGATTTGAGCATACCAGTAAAACCAGAAGTGATTAATGAGGGTGACTAGAACTAACAGTAGTATTAGAAGAAGTTTTCCATTTACGTTTTGTGATTGTTTTAATTTCTTTGTAATGATCTTCTAAATATTCAAAGAAAGGAATTTCAATATTATGTTCAGTCATAAACTTGTACCATTTTCGAGTGATTGTGGATTGTTGATTAGAATCATATTTAAGCCGATAAGCATGACGTTTGGTTTTATTAATTTTTTATTTAAATTCAATGTGTAGTTTATCAAGATCAGGAGCAAAAGGTTTACTAATGGTCATTAATTGAGGATTGATTGGAGGTATAACTTCAAAATCAGTTTGGGTTAGGGAATCTTGATATTCAGTGTCATCTTCAGGTAAATGTGTATGTGTTGAATAAACAGGTTTAGTAATTTGAGAAG